TACAGTGTTCGAGGAGTGACAACTGCGAGGTTATTCGCAGTTTTCCCAAGGTTAGACACATATTTCATTAAAGGCAGTTCTTTATTTTCACAAATACGAGTTAGTTCGCACTTTTTAAGCAACACTGCTGGAGAGTTGACAACCCAACCCGTGCGGCTTTTAGGTCTTCAGTTCCACAATTCCGAGTTAGTTCATACTTTCCCCTAGTGCTGCGCACCGCCATTATTGTCTTGTCTACAGAACTGCGAGTTAGTTCGCACTTGTCGAAACCCTTCGCAATTGTCGATAAACCTGGACTTCAGTTCCACAATTCGGAGTCAGTTCGTACTTTCCCATTGTACTTCGGGTTGCAATTGTCGTCCTGTCAGCAGAAATGCGAGTTAGTTCTCACTTGTCGATTCGCACTTGTCGATAAACCACATCTTACTCGTTTCGTGCGTCTTTCAGGTCTTCAGTTCCACAATTCCGAGTTAATTCGCACTTCCCCTATTGCAGCGGGTTGCCATTGTTGTCTTGCCTACAGAACTGCGAGTTAGTTCGCACTTGTCGACACCCTTCGCACTTGTCGATAAACCACATCTTACTCGTTATGAGGGCATCTAGTTGGGTCGCAATCTTTCTGTCTTTCCTATCCTTCACCCGATTGTTGTGACTTCGTGTGCATTTCGAACACCCATCTCTTACGTCCTTTTCGTCCTCCATTTCGTTAAGTCCGAGTTAGTTCGCACTTCGCTTCTGTAGTGGTCTGGGGTTGGGCGTATTAGTCATCCGAGTTGGGTCTGGGGTTGGGCGTATTAGTCATCCGAGTTGGTCTGAGGTTGGGCGTGCTAGTCAACGGGTGGGAATACAATGGCGTCCACAAAGAACACATCCACAAGCGCTGGACCATCTGCCCCCGGGGAGGGACGACCTGTACAGCAACCTACTCCTCAGTATATGCACACAAAGGGAGCACCATGGTTTTTGGACTTTGTTGTTCAAGGGGACCTTTTTGGGCCAGTTGTTTTCATGCGACCCACTTGCGTTACAGACGCTAGGGGAGCGGTCAACGTTGTTCCTCTCGGTACCGTCGTCTCGTGCGCGAAGACTCCTAGAGGTTTGCTCAAGTTGCACACTAACGGCGTGTACGACGAGTGCAGACTGCCTATCAGAGGTGTTAAAGGTGTGCTGGTGACCATCAAGAGTTTCGCGGGGTACGGCTCGAACATGATGTTGTGCTCTCACTTCAAAGGCCTTTACGATGGCGGCAGCAAGCATCTTCCATCGCCAGAGCAATATCTCGATCTCGCGCTGATGGTGCCGAAAGAACGTCCGGTTCTTCCGCCAGAGCATGTTTTTCGGCTTCTGCCACCCCGTGAGGGGTCGTCCGACTTGGCTCAAAAAAATCCAGGTACGGCAGTGGGGCGCAGGAGTCCGATTCAAGACGTTGGGGGTCGGGTCAAGGGACGCAACATTCACACGCAGGTCGGCCCGGATGCTCCTAGGAACACGTCGGACTTGCATTCTCAGGGTACAGGGACTCCACGGGTCGGTACTCCGAAACTTATCAAGGTCCGCTGCGGCGCCGATACATATTCGCTTCGAGATGAGACGAGAAGAGATTCAAGCAGATCGGGGCTAGATGTTGGATGGAATGAGGCTGAAGGGATGGGCGCTATCCGCAAAAGCTCAAGAGGGGAGCAGACTCCTTCGGAGAAGAAGAGCGAGCGACAGAGGAGGGTGCGACAGGAGGTGGCGGAAGGAACCCTCCGCATGAAGAGGATGAGAGGAAAACCGGAGGCGTTGATGGGCGGGGATGGAGGTGGCGACGGAGAACGTGCCTCGGGAAAGAAGCCGATGAAGGAAGAGGGTGGGACGACAAGTAAGAAAGCGAGGAGGCCCGGCGGTTTGAACATCCGCGAAGGACAAGCCGCGGGTGGAGGAAATTCGGTTGATCCAGGCGCTGCGGCCGCGAGAGAACCTTCGGGGAAATCGAAACGGAAAGTGGCAGCTGAAGAAGGCGATGGCCAGAAGAAACCTCGAAGGCGGAAGACTGCTGAGGCGGCGAGCGGTGGCGAAGGGCCTGTCGGTCAGGAGTGCGACGAAGCGGCAGCGTTTTGGCTCGAATACGAGCGGAACAATGTCGGTGAAATCGTGAAGAAGTAGCTCCCCGTCCAACTGCTCATCGACCCCAGGAAGGTCTGCGACATCCCGCCTTGGGAAAGATATTACAACCACCGCAGTCTTAGTCGTGAAACTGTGGACGACATCAAGGATGTAATGCTGAGTCAATTCCGCGAGAAGAAGATGTGGACGAAAAACCCTCTCGTTTTGGCACCCATCTACAAGCCGGTGACGCGTAGGCCGGAGTAAGCTGACAGGGTTCACAAAGATGTCTTCAAGCCAGAGGACAAGGACAAGTACTACTATTACCCTGTTAACGGACAACACACCGTGGCTGTTGTGAAGGAGTTTGAGGGTGAGCAGATATTCGATTTGTGGAAGATGCACTCGTGGCCAGCGAGAGTAGTGTGGTTCTCCGACCGAGATTTTGCGAGGTATAGGCAGGTCAGTCTCAACGAAAACACGAGACACAAGATGTCTAAGCAGCGATCGCAGAAGGCCGCGTTCTTGGACATGCGTGAGAGCGAGAAGGAAAGAGAACCCCCTCGTAAGTTGACCAAGGCTGAGAGGAAAGCCTTGAACCAGATACGAGGAGGGCAAGGTACTTCTCGTAAACAAGGAGAAAGCAGTAAGAACGGAGGACATGGAAGCGGGGAGCGACAGGTTGACCAAGGACAACAAAATCAAGGTCAACAGACTCAACCACAGGGTGGTCGAGGCCGTGGTAGAGGCCGCAGAAACGGAGGCGGACGTGGGAACTGGCAGGAATACGTCTGCAAATATTGCGATATGAAAGGACATGTTATTCGTTTCTGCCAGATTCTCGCCAAGGACGAGAAGGACCATGTCGTCTTCACGACGATTCGAGGAGAAGTGTTTGACTTCGAGGGAACTCTTATCGATCAGGATAATGAAGGAGGAATGAGAAAGGAGGCTTTTCGACGAATGGGCCGTCCTCTTCTGGCTACATTCCGGTTAGCTTCTCCTGAATAAGCAAACCTTTTTGAGTTAGAAGAAACAATGGCTTCTATGGAGATTGGTGGGTGTGACGAAAAAGAATTGGAGGAAAGGAAAAAAAACGTTGCTCATCGGGCGCGAGAAGTGACCAAGAAACTAGGCAAATGTCGAGATTCCATTGTTCAATTATGTGTTGACATGGAAGAAGTCTGGCCGAATCTTCCTAATGTGTTCCTTTTTGGTGGATTGGGGAACGAAGGTCAGGACAGGTCAGCACCTGTAGCCGCTTCGGCACCTGAAGCAACGCCGATGACACGACCAATGATGATGTCCAGACCTGTACTCAAGCGAGGGATGCCAACCGTCATGGTACAGACGAGGAAAGGAAGGAAGAAATACACATTTCGTTAAAAATGAACCTTTTAATTGTTCACTTTTTGTAACAAAGTCGGAATTCATGTTTGAGCGGCTTAAATAAGAATAAATCGAAACAATCATTGGTAAGTGTTGCTAAGTGGGCAGTGATATGGGTCAACTGCCATCGCTTGGAGTACTGGACCCATCATACACACACACACACACACACCCCACCCAACCCCAACCACCCCAGCACACCAACGGTGTTCGAAGTTCTCCCTTGTAGGCAATCTTCACGGTAGCCTTTTGGAGCGGCCTTCGGTCGGTAACTCAGAATAAACTCCAGGTTTGTTCGAGTGCTCCGGGCCCATCAACATGCAAATTGTGCGCTTGATTATGGCCACTGCATAGTTCGTAGTGAGCGGGATACGTACTTTAGCC